CTTTCACTAAATAAAAGAATGCACACTTGTCATTCCTATCAGCCTCTCTCAAGATAATTGGAACTATATAAGCACAAACTGAAATTAAAACAGGCTTATACTGTACTGCCTTGTACAGAAAGTTACTGAAAAACCCATATACAGGCCCGGGGCTTGGATTCCTGGCCTTGATGGCAAAAGCAAGGTAATTAACTGTATTCACCTAAGTTTTACAATGTCAGGAGAGAGATCTCACATCTAAATATATCTTTGCACGGGACTGAAATCATCTGGTCCTGCCTGCTAATAGAGGAGCTACCAACCATAGGTTAAACACAAAAAGTCTCACATTGTTTTAAGGACCATAAGCATTCGTAGCATAGAACTCACAAGTCTAAGAGAGGGTTAGCAGCTGAGATTTTTGTTACATTAATTAACATCCATGCTATGAAACTCCCAGGTGATCAACCTTGTGCACCTAATCATACCAATAATAAATTAAGACAGACCTCTTAACATAAAAATTGCAGAACATTAAAATGATCTCATGTCTGATTCCAAGACAGCCCTCAAACTTCTTTGTGACATATAAAAGCCTCAGACACATGAAACATGCTTACAGAGCCATTATCCTGTAAATATCACTGGCCTGCTTGGTGGTTTTGCATCACACTTACGAAAGTAGACTAGCATGGACACGATGGCTTGAACATAATCATCATTTTTCCATTTAATCAATATTTACTGAAAATAAAGAGGGAATAAAATGTCATAGGGAGGCAAGGTATCAATCCAATGTGCGCAGCACAGGAATATAGCTTGAGGAAATGTGATCGGTTAAACATTAAGATTTATTTTACTCACATAAGTGACATCTGGTCACCTTGTGCCTGAGGAGTCATTAAAACCCACTATACATATATTAGACAATAATTCAAAATCTCTGTGACGGCTGCAGCGCTCAACTTAGAGACAGCTCCATCAAAGCGTGACCGATTGATGCTGTCCCAGCTGCCAGCTGCCTGCCGCTGTGGTGCCTTCCACCATATCGGTGCACTCTCTGGTCATAAGCCAGAACAGATGGGTGATGGGTGCCCCACAACAGCCATTCATTTTCCCCGCAACCCTAACACCCCCAAATCCACACACATATACACATAGTCAGCCCCCTTCCCTGACCCAATGCATATTAATGTTATTGTTACCAACATAATGCCCGTGCATGCCTTATCCCTGTTCAAGGTGACAGTTTAAAAAGCACTTTAGCTAGAAAACAGTCCTTTGGACAAGAAAAGTCACTTTTGTGTTAATTTGATTATTCTCAAATGTGGTTTTTACGCATACAAATTCTGACACCTAAGGTCAGTTACAAGTACTTGAATTTACTTATTAACTGAATTTTTAAAATACTCCTTTAATGCACCAAACAAACTGCTCAACCATATCCTAACTCACATCAACAGACAAAGACTATGATAATTCACCCGGCACAACATGTATGCAGCTTCTGTATACCACTTAGCAACCACAAATCTGAAAATCTTACAGCTTTGGGGAAAAAACTTAAAGAAGTTAGGGAAATCTCAAATCACCATCTTCCTCATCTCAGTCAGTCTGGGGTTTCAAGCTTTTGTTCCAAAGCCACATCAATAATAACATTTTCTAAGAATCAATTTATCTGAGGAAAAAAAAGCAACATAAAACAGAGATAGTGTGCCACTTACCCTCTTCTGGTCCTCTAAGCCATGTGTAATTTGTTTTCTCCTTTGGTGCTGATGTGAGGTTGTCTCTCCTCCTGATTCCATCTCCCTTAAAATGTGATTATTTCCCTCCATTGGCAGTCTTTATTCCACAGTAATTGACCAAGTACCCCCACCCACCCACCCCAAAAAAATTTTTTAAATCCCAAGTCTTTCACACTAGCAGCTCTTCCATTCAACTCCTTGCCATTGCAACAAAAAAAAATCAATGACTTTAAAGATCTATAAACTCAGCTGAATCAGTCGTCCACCATGGCTTTTCACTTCAGTTTCCATCCAAAGATGCTGTCGAAAAGACAGAAGAGTAGAAGTGGCATCCCAGAAACGGGAGGCCTCTGTGCCTCCATTGCAGGAGAAGGCATCTAATCCAATAAGGTAATATTATCAGCATTGCTTGGCCCAGAGGTCAACCTCTTCTGTTTGTGTGCCAGCTAATGACTCCAGTGGCGTTTGGCACAATCCCAGGAGAAATGTTCCAAACTCTGCAAATTCAAGTCTTGAAATTACCCACACAGATGTTTGGAGGAAGAAACAGACTAAAATACGTAGAGAGAGCTGTGGAGTGAAATATTACTTTGTAGGATTGCATTACCCAGTACTAAAACGAACAATATCTTTGTTAGACAAACGCTAAACCATTTGATTGTGTGGTGAAATAATAGTTTTATGCACTGCGAGGTCTCCTATGATCGTAAATTAGCTTCAGTTTATTGTATCGAAGTTAACATATAACATATTATTTCTAATAGACTGCAAATCCGCACACTTTCGATACTATCCATAACCGTTTCAATATTCTTACACAGTACAATATTGTACGTATGTATATTCTTATAGTATTTGATTTAAAAAAGACCAAGGTATGACATGGTTGGGTTAAAATAAAATATACATTAGTGTTTTAAGTGTTGCATGCTCGTATGGCTGAAACTTTTAAAACTGAAAGCAGTATATTACATTACTTGAGTGATATTTCACATAAACTCTCATTACTTTATGAAATAATTCCTGGGAGGAAATTCTCCAGACAGTGTTTGGAAACAATAAGGGACTTCCTTAATCATATACAGTACTGAAAAAAACAGGACGCCGATAACTGAATAAGCATAAACCACATCATATTAAGCCCGTGGATAGCTTAAACGTTAAAACGTTGTCTACAATCTCATTAACAACAGCAATTTCCATCAACAAGCGAAAAACATGAGTTGCTGCCTAAATTTTACAAGTAGTCTATCGCATTAATATAACAGGTGCATAAATAAAACAGGTGCAAACTGCGCATCTCTGCTACCCTAACGCCATGCAAACATTCTTTTTGTATACTGCAGCAAATATATTCAGTCGTCATTGGACTAGATTTTGAAAAAATTAAAACTAAAAAAAACTCGTCGAATTTGGTAATACAAGGTTCTCCTCTAGAGTCGAGTGCTGAATTTCACAACCTCAATACTAAAGTCCAGCACATTAAGTACACCGTAAAACAACAGAGCCAGCGCTCACCACAGCCAGATTCAAGGCTCCACCGCAGAAAATATCATAACGTCGCATCTCTACGACTTCTTTACATAAACTGCATCCTTTTACGAGAGTACGTAGTAACAATTTTCTTTCTGTATACGTCTGCACAAGCTATATCAAAGTTCATCTTTTTTATCGGAATGAAATGCGAAAACTACTCACCCCAAACACAATCAGGGCTTCCCTTTGAGACAAGGCTGTTTCCCCGGCACACACTCCCTCCACTCTCTGCCCCCCCTCCATCCCCCCGGCGTGAAGTCAGTCCATAAATGCCCCGCACAAACCCCCTCTTCCAATTGATCACATTACGTCATGGCACCGTGCACCAGTCTCATCGCTAGATTTTGGCGCTGTCCGTTTCCATGGAAACTTATAGGCGAAATGAGTTGGCTGCCATCTAGTGTCAATAAAATAAAACTACCTGGTATAATCCCGTACTTAAACACACGTATTACGGCAAAACTTACGGGGTGCCATGGATCGGTCGAACAGCTGCTTGACACGTACCTGTCCATATGATGGCGACCTTCTTCCATTGCTCCAGGGTCCAGTTCCGACATTTAAATGCCTAATGTAGGTGCCTTCGACGGAGGACACGGGTCAGCATAGCACTGGCTTGCGGCTACGTAGTCCGATATGTAACTGAGCTCGATGGCCCGTGTATCATGACACACTACACCCGTTATCATCATCAAAATTATCTACCGTAGTGTCACAGTAGCCCATCTGTTGGTTTGTACCAGACGTGACTTCACACCCCTCATCTGGAGACCTTGCCGTCCCGTACCCTTTCTGCGGTTCGTGGTCTTGCCCTCCTCAGACTAGAGGTATCCAACTCACTATAGCTGACCGTGAGCAGGCCATAAGCTTTGCCCATTCGGAGATGTTCTGGATCCAGTCGTCTGTCCATTTCTTCTGTATTCAACATACCAACAACGAGTAATGAATTTTATCTTACCGTCCAACATACCCCGTTTTTACTAGATAGTTAACATTAATCGCTTTGCTTTAGGATCATAAAGCAGTTTGGGCTCATTGATGTATACGTAATTATTGTTAATTAGTTGTTCTGATTGGAGTTTCTTACAAATGTCTGTGTGTGTGTGCAGTTATTTTGCACAGTGTTTTAACAGCAGGCCCAGTATGACAACGAAATCAACATATTACACATAAAAATATGATGAGCAAGAGTCCGATGGCACATCTTAAATACAAGGTTCAACTCAGTGATTATTTCATTTAAATGTTAGTGTTACTTTTATTATTGAACGTCTTTCTGAGCAAAATATTTCACATAAATGTACAATGATCCATCTATCTTAACCGCTTGTCCAAGGATTTTAGGTACCCTGGACACTATCAATGAGTCAAAGAGCCCAAAGCAAGACACACCCTGGAAGAAATACCAGTCTCCATCTAAAAAGTTTCAGCAAATATCCACCAGTAAATATAACTATAAAAGTACCTTGGAGTCAATTAAATGAAATGTTAATAATTATTACATTACGGTAGTCGTCAGGCTTTAAGAAACTATCTTATCCTATACAGAGATACAAGGATGAAAAACAATAAGATATATATACTGTACAGGTATTACAGGGTAGTCCCCATTTACCTGGCCCTGACCTCTTTGAGGTTTATTTGACTCCGCCCCCTTTCGCGTTCAACACTGACTGTGATTGGCTGGAGGAAAGGTGAAGCCGGCGCGGGATGAAGCGCGCAGTATACTTTTTTTTTTTTTTTTTTAAAGAAACTACGTCAGGCGGGATAAATCGTCCCTATACTGTTTCATTCTTTTAAACTAGGATGATTAACTCTTGGATTATAAATGGGGCTCTACCGCTAAACTTGTAATTATTTGTCGTACAAATGTAGAACTAGTTAAGTCGATGTAGGCAAAACTTAGTTTAAATACAATGGTGTTTGTAGTTTTTGTGATTACTGGAGGTAAAATTAGCTGTTAGAATTATTTTAACTTATTTCTTGTTCTAGTTTAAGTTAAAACCTTGCCCGATAGTATTTTTATGAGGTGCGATTGATTTTTTAAAGGGTTTAGCTCATTTTCCATGGACAGCAAATATCCGATCTGCCATAGCGACTGGAATAGATTCCCAATTTACTTATCTGTTTGAAATTGGTGCTTGGTAAGTTTTTATATTCTTATTTTCATTTTTCTTCCTGGCTTGAGAATTGTCCACATTGTGATTGCATACATTCTGATGTTGGAGCTCACTTAATATTTTAGAGTTGCTCTGCATTGGCAAATATAAAGTTAAACTGCCTACTGTAATCTCGTAAGGCAACACTACGTAGCCACGTTATGAGTTGATACTTGCTTTTCTAAGCAATCTTTGAATTGAGGCACCGTGGCAGCATTATTATTATTATAGAATGTGCGTTGTGGTTAAACGCGTGTGAAGTACAGTGAGGTGAATGGATACAATATGTAGACGCTTGTAGCTGAAGATACTTTAATGGCGGGCGTTGTGGTTAAAACGATATACTCGCTAGGTTGTCTTTGCATGTTTGTTTTAAATAGCTACAGAGTTGCAACGTGTTTTATTTTCACCGAAAGGCAATTAAGCCTAGCTAAACTTATAGACATCTTACAGTTTATTATTAAATATCGTAACGTGGGTGTCTATTACTGTCTAGTCTCGCTTGGGGTGCGAGAGGCTCCAGCACTACATAAAAGTTGTAGAAAATTGCCGAAATACATTACAAACGATTGAAATAAATGTACGTCATCGACGGAGACAATAGTTTTAATTCCCCTTTCTTCTGCATTGTATTAAAGTGCATACTGTAAGTTTTTTTCTAAGCGTTTCATATTTCCGGGTTATGTCATTAGAATTACTCTAGGAAATTCCGCGCCAAGATTTAAAAAAATATCTACCTGCGCGGGACAGTCCGACTTGCCCTGGAACTAACTCCCGCTTAATTTCTATTGGTCGACGATCAATGCAGGGCGTGTCCTTCGGTTTGTGCGGCTCTCTAATTCGACAACGTAAACGCCAGTCAATGTAGTCGCGGGGTCGACATAAATTCATAGATGCCTTCTGGCTATACATGATATTATTAGCAAGGTTGAGTTTTGGGATATTTGATCTACAAAAGTCTTTCCTTGGACCAAAGAGGTTTCAGATCGACTGTTTAGCACAGTATGCGGAATTATGCTAAACTGCATGTTAGGTGTTATTTTATCAGCGTTCTTTTAATTTTTGTTAATTAGTTGGGAGTGATGAATGTGTTGCTGGATTTACAAAATTCGAAAAAATCCAAAATCAACTCTTCTTGCGGCCTGACTTCCGTGGATGAAAAGGTTAGATTGTCTGTACTTCGTTAGGACTCACAAAATATAATGTAGTTGTGAGTGTAATTTAATTTGAAGTGTACAGTAACGCTTGTAAGCATCCAACTTATTCCTAGATTGTACTTAGTACCTATTGTGATCTCTTTAGGAAACATGTCAGTTATGGAAATTTATTTTCTCAAACAGGATAATGCTTTCCTGGAACCAGACGTTTTAATGAAAATACCAGGGAACATATCTTCAGTAGATTTTCAGGAGACCATGGGATCTCTGACAACACCCACAAAGGGAAAGAACAATCCTGTAACTGAACCCTGGACCCCCACTTCCAACCTCAAAATGCTCATCAGTGCTGCCAGTCCAGAGATCAGGAACAGAGAGAAGGAGCTGGGTCTGGATAACAGTGTAATCACAGAGCCCATTGATGCTTCTCAGGTAATATTATAACATGAACATATCAGAAAATACTGTTTTACTGTGATTCAGCCAATGCACTTCCTATAAGCTATAACTATTCTGCTTTTTCCCAGTTAAACTAAATTTAATTGCTTCGATATTTTTTGTTTCTGCGGTGTTAAGCAAGTCTGGGTTGTTAGGACTTGCACACTTAGTCATTGCAATGAATGTTCCTCCATAGATTTTTTTTATTTTTTGAGTACTCACTATTGCAAATGTAATTATAATTATTTGTTTGTTTTTCTATTCTTTTGCTGACAGGAGCCCTCATTTGATGAATCAGAGAAACTTCAAATAAGTCGGAAAGAAAAGAGCCTGGGTTTACTCTGCCATAAATTCCTGGCACGTTACCCAGACTATCCTAACCCTGCTCTGAACAATGACATCTGTCTTGATGATGTAGCAGTAGAACTTAGTGAGTTTTATTTTTCCTTTAAAATGCTTTCTTGTTTGTGAACATCTAGACATTCTGACATCAGTCGTGAACTTTAGAAGCCCATATCACAAAGATATTCAATATTTGTAACTTTATTTTGTTAAACAAATGGCACAAAATCTTTAAGCTAAGATTTAAACAATTTCAATTCCATTGAATCTCAAGAATACCTGCAAGCTTATTCTGTACACAGGTAATTTTTATTTTAAAAAAATTTCCTCCTGTAATGAGTTGGATATTTTTCTGCCCTCAATGAATATTTGTGTTTGTTCCATAGATGTGGAAAGACGACGCATCTATGATATCATGAACGTCCTGGAGAGCTTGCACATGGTTGGCAGGCTAGCTAAGAACCGCTATATGTGGCACGGCAGAGTCAACCTTCCACAGACCCTAGCCACACTCAGGAAAGTAGGAGAAGAGTACAAATATGGTGAGCAGATGGAGCAGATTAAGCAGAGAAGCTATGAAAGAGAGTTTGACTTTGATGGTGACGAGAAAGAGAATGAGGACATGAGCAAACCTGGAGACACAGAGAGTGAACTTGGGCAAAAAGAAATGTACTTTGTGGAGCTTCCAGGTGTGGAATTCCGAGCAGGTGAGCTCAAGGTTATACACTGAATTTTTAATACTTGATGTGGAAAAATGCGTATAGATATTGTGATATACATGATTGAAACCCTTAATCATACAGAGCTATTGTGGGTTTTTTTTGTCCCAGCTTCTGTTAATAGCCGGAAGGACAAATCCTTGAGGGTGATGAGCCAGAAGTTTGTTATGCTGTTTCTTGTCGCCACACCACGAATAGTGAGCCTTGAGGTTGCAGCAAAAATTCTCATTGGAGAAGACCAAGTCATTGACCTAGACAAGAGCAAATTTAAGAGTGAGTAACAAGCAGAGCAGATTGCCTCTCACTGACATGTAACCTAAAATCTTCAATGTATTTTTGAACGTGCATGTTGATCAACGGTCTCCCTGACGCTTAGTTGCATTATTTTACAGCAAAGATCCGTAGATTGTATGATATTGCAAACGTGCTGAGCAGCCTGGAGCTCATTAAGAAAGTTCATGTTACAGAGGATAGAGGAAGGAAACCAGCTTTCAAATGGACAGGCCCAGAGGACTTTGCAAGCACTAATGGTGGGTTCACATCTTAGTGACTCAGCAAAAGATCTTCAGTTAACCTCCTGTCATTATCTATCCTTATTTGTTTGTTTAATTTCTTCAAAAGATGCTGATGCTTCATTGACTGCACCATCCACTGCAACAGGGACTTTGGAGTCAAGGTGTTCCGTACAGAACTGTGCTAAAAATCTCTTCCCCTCCAACACAGTAAAGCACAGTTTTACTCGTCACCCATCTTTGATTAAGTTGGCAAAAAGTATACAAGATGACCGCAGGAAGATCAACTCTGCGCCTTCCAGTCCTGCTAAAATAACTGAATTTGTCCCAAGTAAAATGGCTCAGCTAGCAGCCATCTGTAAAATACAACTGGATGAACAGTCAAAGTAAGTCTGATTGCTTTACACTAAAAACGGTACTTGTTCTGTAGCATCAAAACTGTTTGATTTATTTAAAAAAGGAAAAACAACTGGTTACATATTTATTATTTTTCTTTCAGAAAAAGCAATATAAACCCCAAAGTGACTCCTGCAGTAGTAAATAGTCTAGAGCAAGCAGAAATTGGTAGGAAAAATAACGAACCAGCATTAAATATTGAACAAAATACCAACCGTACTCCTGAAATACAGCTGCCAGCTTCAACATCAGGAACAATGCCATTTACCCCCTCCCAGCAGCCTGCTCTTATCCATGTCCTTCTACCCCAGCACCAGATAAGCAGGCCCTATACCCTATACGTTCATCCTTCAGTCAGGCCACACCCATCTAGCTTGGCTGTGCGTTCAATGACATTCGAGGACAAGACTGGAGGGAGTTCGGGAAAAGCCACAGAGGAAAGCACATCACCTGGGAAGTCTGCTACAAAAGACATAAGTCTCTCTCAGATGCAGGAACACAGTCTGCTGCAGAATAATTCTGCCTGCTCCCCCTCAAGTCCTGCCTCAATGAAACGAATCTCCTGTGACCAGATCTCTGAGAAGAGCCCGTCTAAAGTCATGAAGATGCCGAACAGTTCTAGGGTATATTGTTGTTATTTATTATTATTTTGGAAGTATTACTATAGCAATATCAGGCCACCAGCATTAAAATAAGTAACTTGATGTAAAGACTTGTCCTTTTCACTTGAAAGTCCTGAGTGATGTATTCCCAGCTACAGCACACTGAGCATCCTTTATGTTCTGCCTTTCTAGTCGCCCTCACCCTATGGACCAGAGCTGGGTGACATTATACAGGCACGCCTGAAGGCACGCAGGAGCCTGGTGTCAAACAGACCCTCTCCCCGGGCTCTTCACCTCGATCCAGAATTCATAAATACACCCGAGAACACAGCAGCGGAGAAGCTGGACCAGAGTGTGGAGAGGTTCCTGGAAAAGGAAGAGAAACTCTCCCCCTGCATCAGTGAGGGAGGTGTCACCCCTCTCCGAGCTATACCCTTGCAAGAGGTCCTCCTCTCCTCTGGACATTTACCTGCTGAGGTGAGGTCCAGTTGCATGAGCATGGTTTGTTACTTTGCTGTGGTGCCCAGGCAGCTGATTATGCATCCTTTCTGTCCCCCAGGCTCTCATCCCAACTGGGTATCTCATCCCCATCTCCCAGCCATCGCTCACTAACCTCCAAGACTCTCGGATGCCTGGTGCTGAGAGTGCAAATGCTGCAGCCTCCAATCACACTGTGTTCCACACACCTACGGCAGGTGTGACCTGTTCTGGAGCCAGAATGGCTGCATAAACATTGTCTAAATATTAATCACATGGTAAAATGAGTTTAAAATAAACATTTAAAAAAAAAAAAAAAAAACTTTATTTGGCTGGTAAATTAGTTTGATTAGAATTAAGTGCAATTGCACATTGTCAGATCTAATGAAATGTACTGTAGTTATTCATTATTTGCCTCATTCTCCATAGGGTCCTTGCCAGCTGGTGCCCAGGAGTTTACCCCCAACAGCTTCTCCCTCAAACTGGCTTCATCTGCTGTGCCAGTCTCTCCCTTCTCAGTGCTGAGTCAGCCGGGCCCTTCTCCAGTACCTAGCCAGAGACTTCATAGCCCCAGCCCTGCCATCCTTAATTTCACTCTGCAAAACATGGGCCTCATTCGCAGTGGCAGCCCAGGCAGGCCTTCTGCCTCCGCGCCGTCTGAGCAAATGAATGGCAGCCCTGCCCAGCTTGGCTTCCAGCAGAGAGGCATGATCTTTGTCAAGCCCATGTCACCTGTGCCCCTCCAGCAGCAGACCGGACAGCCCCTCGCCCTGTTCAACTTACAGCAGGTGACGCACAAACACTGCGATTTCAATTAAAACCGTTCAATTAACACGTTAGCCAAATGTTCCTAGAGACGATGCTCCAGAACACATTATAAATAATGTGTTTTGGAGAAATATTCTAATATTTTCATGGACAGTATTTGAAGACCATGAAAGTAAAACTCACATCCTGACCTCTATATGAAAGGTGGTATTTCCTGTGATATACAGCAACCAAACCGTACCAAGAAAAGTTGCAGTGCGTTTTCAGCTCGGTAAAGGTGTTGACAGGTTAGGAGAGCGACCGACGTAAAAACAAAGGGAAACCTATTGACTTCACATGATGTACATCAATGTATTACGTGGTAATTCCTGCTAGCAAGTCGGTCAATTTTACCATCAAATGCTAGTGAAATTACAATTTGCTTGTGTTCATTTGTATTTCGAATCAATTGCATTGAGCTGCTCTGTAGTAATTTTTAAGTAGTGGTTGGAAACTATTGGGAATGCAGCAATATAAGCAGATGTGCAATACTACTGCTAATGAACAATATATAGAATACGCCCTTTTTTGACTTCAGATAGAGAACGCTAGTGTCTCCTTGCATTTTGAGATAGTGGTGATGCAACCAGCTTGGTTTGGTCACACTTTCATCCCTACCAGTAAGTCGGGCCACGTTAGTACGGGTACAGCTCAAATAATTTACATTGGAAAACTGACACTTTGCTCAGGTATGGCTCAATTCTTCTTGGTGGCAGTGGAAAAGCGCCATTAGATAGATATTTATTATCTATCTTTTATTATTATTATTATTATTGCCCACCACCATTTTGTTTTATTATGTATATAAAATAAAAATATGGTCATGCTAGTCTCACCTAAGGGGTTCTCAGCTTGCATGGTAGAATTGTTTTGTTGCCTTGAAAACCAAATGGCCTAGCGCCCTCTAATGGACATCTGCTTATATCACTTTCCTTCTGATACATTGGTAGTAATACACCAATGAATTTCTTATCACGGATGTATACCTGTGCATTCAGGGGAATCAATCACCCATGCAGCGTATTCATGTATGGATATGTTGTATATTCTATAAATATGTGTTTAGTAGTTTTTCTGAAGGTTATGGGATTCTTTATGGGATTTGGTTCTGTACCATAGTCAGTTTGTTTAATAACATATAGGTAATGTCTTTTTACTGTGTGTGTGTGCGCGTGTGTGTGTGCGTGTGCATTCTTTCTATTTGGTGACAGGTCCTTTTTCTTTTTCCTTTATAGCCTCTGATAGCAACTCCCAAGGGAACCCAGCCCATCCACCACAGCTTTTTCCATACCCCAGTATCTACCCTCTCCCCCCTTGCCACGGTGGTGACCTCCTCGAGCAACACGGGCTCCAGGAATGTTTACATCCCACAGCGGAAACTTGACATTGCCACCGAGGACAACTGTAGAGGTGGCCCAGAGAACCTTATGCTGCTAAATGACTTTTGCTGATGAGTCACTGTGCATTAAGAGCTGTGTCCCTGTATTGTTTGACCAGTATATTGCCTGTGCTGTAATTTTTCCATTGAAAGGTCCCAGACATTTATCATTTGGACATCAACACACTGCAGGACAGCTTGCAACTTCATTGAGCATGCTGATCGCATAAACGAGATTAGAGTGTTTCATATAATGACCCTCAGTTCCAAATATATATCAATCAGTTATGAGTAAGGTGCCAAAAATAAAGGGCTTTGTGAAATGACAGCTGGGATCCTCATGCAATTTACTGAGGTACTGTATGTATCTAAGGGCACCACTAAATCCAGGAACTGACTCTGGTCTTTAAGTCAGTACATAAGTAAACTAAAGAACACAAATAACACTTGAAATTGGTTAAAGTGTAATTGGGTTTGGTGGGTAAACTATATGTAATTTGTAGACTGAAATTGAAAATGTTTTATTTTTGAAAATGACAAGAGTTAAGTATTCTAGATAAGAGGAAAGCTAAATTCCTCTATTTAATGTTTAAGTGCCATAAAAAGGTGTCTGGGGAGTGCAGGACCTGTATGTTGTATGTGTGAATGAGTTGATGGATGAATCATTTTGGAATCTGCATGTTTTACAGAAGAACTAAAGAAGGCTGAATTGTATAATAAAAATGGATGTATGTTTTGAGTTCCTGTTTTAAACCATGCAGTTTTAGAGTAAATTATAGTAACACAAATAAATTATTCTCTAAATTAGTGTCTGCCAAAAATTAAATGGAATCAAAATCCACTTTATGGTGGGGTGTCTTTGGATTACATACCAGCATGGGTCTTTATCACAAGTTATTTTGGGAAAGTGGTCTAATTTGGACATCGCTGCTGCTCTGGTACCCTTAGCTGTGAACGAAAGATGGCCAGTATTTAAGGTCTCAGTTTGAAATCATTCTAAGCACAGAGAGCAGACCAGCAAATACTTCTACTAGCTTGTCGGTAGGTATATCCCTTATCTTGATTTTAAAATTATTTGGTTATATGATAAACATAATATTACTCAGAAGTATGAATACAATCCCAAGTAAATATGTACCCTAATTGTTTTGTTAAAGAGAAAGGGGGGGGGGAGGTTGTGACTTTGAAAATCAGAAAATTGATTTTCTTTGAAAGTCAGTGTGTTATTGTATTATAAGGGTAACCTGTAGTGAAATTCTTGTTATAGTGAATTTTGCTAAGTGTTTTGAAAAATAGGCATTCAGATGACATAATTACTCTCTACTTTCTGATTTATGTTTCTTTCTTTGAGGTTTTTCTCATCAACGATTGTTTAGAAAGTGCATGTTCAGTGGTCTTGTCCGGGCAGTTTGAAAGCTGAGCTGGTGTGCATTCACCAGCAGACTTGGTAAAGGCACTATTCCAGGACTCTTATCTTCACATTCCAGGGCTGTGAGATTGCTTAATGTGAGAAGACTGAACTGTCACCTGATAGATTATCTGTCCTTCAGGGTCCTATTTTGCTCACATCACATGTTCTGTGAAGGGTTTTCACAACAGTGTAATTAATTGTAATTTGTTCAGTAGCACACAGGAAAAAAACTCTGAAATTCACATTATAGACCACAGTGTACAGATGAAAGAAGAGAGTTACATTATGTATTAGAATCTGAATTTTGGTGCATTAAATAGAAGAATTTTATAATGCAAAAGCAAAGTACTAGTACAACAACCAGCAATTCAAAGCACATTAAGCAGCCATAGAAATGATCAATTTATAAAAGATAGTTATACTATTCATGCCAACCTACAGCTTCTTCATCTCCCTGGGGCAGTCTATCTCAATTCTTGGCGACGATGCCAAACTGGGGTGGAGGGGCCAAATGTGCAGCCTGTGGGAAAACCGTGTACCATGCTGAGGAGATTCAGTGCAATGCCAGAAGCTTCCATAAGACCTGCTTCATCTGCAGTGAGTGAGCAGCACACTGCTATGAGTGTGACGACGAGTATCTCATGGAGGGAACTTATACTCAAATTATATGTTATCCATTTATACATATATATTGTCTGAAGGTCACAAATTAAGCCATTACCAAAAATCATGTTGTACTGTAATTGGCTTGATGGCGCCGTTTTCAAAACAACTGACATGATATAAGCAGCATTGTTTCATGATGAAGTAATACCAACAATCCGAAGGCTTACGCACACCATGTTATAAAAATGTGATGTGTCTAAAAATTCCTACTGAAGAGATATCCTGTTTTAAATAGTATCTCACTCTAAGGAAGCTGGAGAGGAATTCAGCAGTGTTGATGTGTAGATGATGCCATCGGGAGCCTAACACTTGTGTAACTGACTACTTCAGCTGTTATGGCATGTCTCAGATGCTCCATTTTCCCTCCTACCACAAGTGTACAGGGTTATGCACCTTTCGGCATTTGGAGATGTGTTAACTGATGTATTGAGTGGTATGGAAAGTGTAATAATTCTGCTCTAAACCCAGATTCCCTGGGGCACCTGACTGATATTGGATTACACTTTCTCTTTCTGTAGGATTGCAGAGCACTAGTGACCACCTATGACTTGTCTATGTCAGATTTTTTAAAAAGATGAGGACAATTTCTGCTGCTACTTAGACAAACCAAGAGACTAAATAATACCCTTTGGGAAAACATAAGAAGGTTTGACAAAAAACTTAACATAAAGTCAAACCTTATCTAACAGACAAATAATCTAATTTTGGACTTAGCAAAACCGTTAAACAGCCAGTACTACCAGTGAAATACTCCCTTCTTCTTATGCATTTCAGTGGCTTGCAGGAAAGGTCTTGACAGCACAACAGTGGCTGCCCATGAGTCAGAAATCTACTGCAAAACATGTTATGGGAAGAAATATGGACCCAAAGGCTATGGATATGGCCAGGGAGCTGGGGCATTGAGCTCTGATCCACCTACGGAGAGCCTGGGGATCCAGCCACAACAGTATGTGTCATCTGTTTTTTATCATTCAGTATTTAATCACAAATAGCCCCATTTTATCATTCAGTACTTAATCACAAAAACCACTGCTAACCTGATCAAATTTTCATGTCAGCCACTCATCAGGGTAAGAGATGTAAAAAGCTGTATGTAAGAGTTCTAGTTTTCATTGGTTATATTGTCTGTTTATTTGGAATATAACACATTACTAGCACATACTGTAACTAGGGTGCCATGGTGCTTAAACATCCTGTTCTTAAAGGGGGGGGGGCGTCCTGTCAATAAAATTTGCTGGTCAGGGAAATCATGCGATTGGATATACAGGATGGGTAGCAACTCTCTTCAGAACAGTCCTTTTCCCCCTTCAATTTCATGAGCTCAGTGATGTTTTAAAGAAGTCCAGGTGAAAAACAAAGGAAGAGAAATAATTTGTGGCACGTCTGAGTATGCCTGCTTTTTTTTTCTACAAGTCAAACCTGATACATATAAAGCTGACGATGATAAGAACTCATAAACAACATAAAAACTGCAATTTACATTATACCTGTGTACCTTGCTTGAGCTTCTATGAAGAACTAACCACAGGATACCTATATGATGACCACACTTATTCTGGTTCAAACTAGAGATGCACCGATCCACCGGTCACAGACTGGAATCAGCCCATTATCAGCATGCTCGGCCTGGACCGGAAACAGGCTGGTAGATTCATGTATTTCCGATACCAAACTGATCTGTTTAACGCATGCACCATACATCACAGGCAATAACCTCACAGCTGTGTGCACACTCACAGCCACATGCTATCATGTCGTTAGCATGGAAGTTCATTATGGAAGGCCATTAGGGCCAAAACGTCTTAAACTATTTGCTTAGACGTGGCATTATTTCATGCCTACAAACATAAAAAAACGTATGAAACACCACTGGGGTCAAAACCCTCTGAATCAACACGTCAAATTTGTACATCTTAAGACATTAAAAATGTATGGAAGGCCATCAGGGCCAAAAAACGTTTTAAACTTTCCGCCTAGTGCCTGCATTATTTCACGGCTACAGATGTTACATTTTTACACCTATGCCAGGGGTCTCCAACTCCGATCCTGGAGAGCTACCATCCAGTAGGTTTTCTATCCTACCCGGCTTCTGATGAGCCACACCTGTTCTCAGGTAAATACCAGGAACAGGTGTGGCTCATCAGAAGCCAAGTGGGACAGAAAACCTACTGGATAGTAGCTCTCCAGGACCAGAGTTGGAGACCCCTGCTCTATGCACTTTCAAAATAAAAGCACTTCTAACCACAAACACCAAAACAAAATCAAATTCTGTGTGGCTTTTCTTATGTGCTATGAAATAGACCAGGGTGACAAAATAAGTATTATATGATCATTGATAGGAAGCATCAACACTACAATATTGTCATGAAAATGAATCAATACTTATGTTTAATCAATTAGCCTATGATTACAGTTTCAAATAAAATTGCTATCCAGTACAATGTCATCATGAACCACAAACATGTCATAATTTTAATTTCAAATATCCAGAAGGAAAAAAAACATTCTATGCAATGCTCAAATTACACTCAACACCTACAACTTCATTAACATAAGAATAAGCACTTAACACTTACAAACTACATTAACATAAGGATAAGCACTTTAACTTGCTTACTTATATCTACATTGACAATTAGAGGTTGAGTCTTTTTGGTGCTGTCCGCTGTCTTTCAGGATAGCAACGTGCTGGTTGAATTTCCTGAGAAATAATGGCAGCTGCATCTACTTGCTTTGTGCTTTCTGCCTGTTCCTCAGAGCTTGAAGCATTTAATGCCCGCAGGTGATCCACATGCACCTTGACTTCACGATGACCAACTTGTCCATCATAGGTCAGAGGTCATATTCGTTGCAGAATCTTCCCTGGAATCCACAGTTTCTTTGGATGTCTGAAATCTCAAACTAACACCCTCTCTGTACTTGTTATTATTTGGAAGAGTAAAGTACACTTCAATTTTACTTGTAATCTATGGACTTTTTTAAGATGAGTAAAAAATGAGAAAGGGGTCAATGTCGTATTATCTGGTGAATTTAAACATACTGTAAAAATTATATAAGTAACTGACATTTGTTTTGTTATTTAAATCTGTTGCACCTGCTGTTGTTTTGTAATGTAAAGTTGGGTGTACAGCAGCATTTTCAGTTATTTGTATCTCTTTCCAGTGACAGAGCACTTTGATTCTGAAACTTGTTTAAATGAGAGATGATCTTGCAACTTTGTGCAGTTTGGGGGAAAATTGTAAAATTTAGCAATTTCTTTTATTATGAAAATAAAATTTTGCATTGAAGAAAAGTTGATTTCTGTTTGTATATGCTGTCAATTATAGTTCTTAGAAAGAAAATTGGAATTGTCAAAAATCGCTATCGGCCGGTTCCACACTTGCAAAAAAAAAAAAAAACAATCAGCCAAGAAAATAGGAATCGTACATCTGTAGTATCCATCGGATTGAGCAGTTTAGAGCTTGCTGTGTAGTAGAGTGTGCTTGCATGTCAGAAAATCACTTTTATGATTAGCATAACCAAATCAAATAATTAGATCTTGTCTTTTCTGAAGCTATTTCCAAGCTAGCATTGTACTCTGTGATTGTGTTTTTAAAAGTAAATAAAATAAACCAGTATATGATGGTGAATATTGGATGATTTTTGTTTAATTGTATTTTATTTATGTATAATGTTGTTTTGAGAGGAAAAGAGCAGGGATGGAGGAGTGGTCTTAGAAATTATGGTAGCAATACACAACTGAAGCATTTTATACATAAACATATTCCATTTATATGGTGTCTGTATTTTCTTTTTCAGATTCAAACCTCATCACCCTACAGCAAGTTCAAATCCCAACAAGTTTGCACAGAAGTTTGGTGGATCAGACCACTGCCCCCGATGTTCAAAGGCTGTCTATGCAGCAGAGAAGGTCATGAGTGCTGGAAAGGTAAACAGAGTGGCCATTTCACTTTGTAACCTTTGCCTTGAATTTTGTCTAGACCTTGGGTAACTTTTCCATCAAGAAAATATCCCCCCTATCCCTAAATAGGGTCACTTGGAACCTATCCCTGATAGCAGAAGGTAGGGGTCACACCCTGAATGTGATGCCAGTTGATCACAGGGTACATGCACACACTAGGAGTAATTTAAGGACATCAGTTAGCCTAAGTTCATGCCTTTGAATTGTGGGAGGCAACCCCCATAAGATGGGGACAACATACAAACTTTCAGAGGCAAGATTCAAACCTGTGTCCCTCGAAAAGCACCTCCCACTCATGCTGCCCTCTCAAGGAAATATCATGTGATTCCATTCATTATGCAGGTTAAGTATGGGCTTCACTCCTATACCACAATAAGGCAGGAATTTTGGGGGGAAAATCTACAGTTATACTTGATCAATGGTTTGATGTTCGAAAGATGTTACTAGTCCATTGTGATGTGTATTTGCAGCCCTGGCACAAAACCTGCTTCCGCTGTGCAATCTGTGGGAAGAGTCTAGAGTCCACAAATGTAACAGACAAGGATGGCGAGCTCTACTGCAAAGGTACAGAAAAGATATATGCACAATCAAATCAATGCACATTAGGATAAGAATTATGGGTTGTAATTAGACTTGGGTGGTGTCTAATTATATTCACCAAACATGGAATACATATGGTTTTGGGACCAGTCCGCCACCTCAAATTCTTACTCATTAGCAAGATAACTCAAAAAATATTTGATGGCACTTTTTCAAACTTTGTAGCCACAGTCTCTGAGTCACGAACTGGAAGTGTTCAAAATTTGAGCTAAATTGCACCAAAATTGAAGCAGTGCTCCACAGTAAGAGCAAATGATGTTTCAGACACTTGATCCCATTACTGCAACAACTCAAAAAGTATTTGGCACATCTTTATCAACCTTTGCAGAAACATAGAAAAGGTGAAGAGTTGGACCAGCTCAAATTCTGAGACAGACTGCACTGAAATTGAAGCGATGCCACATAGTGATAAAGAAAATGGCAGTTTTCACAACTCAAAAATAATTTGAAGTAGGGCTGGGCACTATTGTGATAAAATTGTTGTATTAGTCAATATCGATAATTATCACAATATATGTCACGTCATTATTTCTTTCCAGTTTAAAGGCTGATTTTTGTTCCTGAAAGTTGAAACCAGATAGTTCATTGTGATTTTAAACTATTCTTCATCATCAGAATGTGACAAACACTTAGCAAAGAGCATTTCGTATTTGACAAATCTGAAGTAGAAGTTGAACCAGTTATTTTAGTCAGTGCCAAGGAAACACTGCTACTTGCGTTCTTCTGAATTCTCTGTGGATTATTACTGTGTGGATTTCTCGTGGACTGAATTTTACTGTGGACTTCCATTTTGGATTTCGCAGGATTCCCCGTGTTGGACAAGTCACTGTGTACTTACTTGCTCTCCCAAAGAATTGCCCTGTTGTTTTGACTGTGCATTTCATCTGCCTGCCTGCCCCATCTCATTCTTTTTTGTTCACTAAATTTCCCATTTGTGTTTGTGTCTGCACTTGTGCTCCGTTGCCAGTCCTGAGTCACAGAGAACATGACGTCTTTTTCTTGTGATGCAAAGTGTGTTGTAGGCAATAAGTTGGGTATTACGTTATATCGAACTTTCATTGAGTATTTGTTATATTGATAAAGGGGAATTATATTATGATAATTATCATTTTATCGCCCAGCCCAAATTCGAAGAATCTTTTCTCAAACTTTGCAGCCACATTGTTTAGATGAACAGCTGAAACTTTTTTGCAAAAACATTATATGAATGAAGATCTACACCATGACACAAATTGCCCCAAAAATGAAGTACCAGTGCTGTGTGACAGCAAAGTAAGAAAAGTGAGGCTGTAGAAGACACTGGGTCTTGTGAACACAGTAACTATAAAAGTATTTGACAGACCTTTTCTTAAACTTTACAGACACATTGAAAGGATAAAGATGTGGACCAGATCTATTTTTGAGACAAACTGCACCAAAATTGAAGCA